TTGTTTATTTTCTCGAAGAACCAGCTCTTGGTTTCATTGCTCTTTCAGATTGTTTCTTTGGTTTCCATGTCGTTGATTTCTGCTCTAAGTTTTATGATCTCTTTCCTTCTGCCCGATTTGGGATCCTTCTGTTGATCCTTTCTAAGATCTTGAGCTGTGAAGCCAAGTTGCTTATGTGCATCCTTTCTTCTGTCCTGAGATATGCTTGCAGGGCTATAAATTTTCCCCTTAATACGGCTTTAGCTGCATCCCATAAATTCTGGTAGCTCGTGTCTTCATTCTCATTTGTTTCCAGGTACCTTTTGTTTTCGTCCTTGACTTCCTTCCTGACCCACTCATTGTTCAGCAGTGAGTTGTTTAGTTTCCAGGTGTTTGATTTGGTTCTCCATGTCTGTGTGTGATTCAGTTCTATTCTCAGTGCATCGTGGTCCGAAAAGATAGTTGATACTATTTCTATCTTCCTGATTCTATTGAGGTATGTTTTGTGGCATAGCACATGGTCTATTTTGGAAAATGTTCCGTGCGCACTGGAGAAGAATGTGTATTCTTTCTTTTGGGGGTATAAAGCCCTGTATAGGTCTATAAGTCCTTTCTCTTCTATTTCTTCATTCAAAGCCAATGTTTCCTTGCTGAGTTTTGTTCTAGTTGATCTATCCAGAGGTGATAAGGCGATGTTGAAGTCTCCAACTACTATTGTGTTGCTAGCAATGTCCTCCTTAAAATCTGTTAGCAGTTGTTTTAAGTATCTAGCTGTTCCTTCATTAGGTGCGTATACAGTTAAGTGTGTGATTTCTTCCTGTTGTATGTATCCCTTGATGAAGAGAAAATGGCCTTCGCTCTTCCTTCTAATCTTTTCAGCCTGAAATTAATGTTGTCAGATACTAGTATGGCCACCCCAGCTTTTTTGAGGGAGCTGTTTGCTTGCAGGATTGTTTTTCATCTTTTAACTTTGAGTCTGTGTTTGTTCTGATTGTTCAGATGAGTTTCTTGTAGACAGCAGAATGTTGGTTTCAGTTTCTGGATCCATTTTGACACTCTGTATCTCTTGGTAGGTGTATTTAGACCATTGACAATAAGGGAGATTATTGTCATGGGGTTTTGTGCCATCTTCCTGAAGGAGCTGGTTGTGTTTATACGTGTTTTCCTTCTTATCTTACAGGATCCCCTTTAGTCCTTCTTTTAGATTTGGTTTTGAGTCTATGAAGTTCCTGAGCTTTTGTTTATCTACAAAGTGGTGTATCGTTTCATCGAATTTGAGTGAGAGTTTAGCTGGATAGAGTATTCTTGGTGAGGTGTCCATTTCATTTTTTCACTATATCCCACCATTGACCTCGGGCTTGGAGGATTTCCTCTGATAGGACTGCTGTGAATCTAAGGGGTGCTCCTTTGTATATAATTTCCTTCTTTGACCTTGCTGCTTGTAATATTGTGTCTCTGTCCACAGCATCCATCGTTCTGACTATGATATGCCTTGGAGTGTTTTTTCTGAGGTCTCTTTTAGCTGGTACCCTTCTGGCTTCTTGGATCTGGATGTATACATTCCTTAACTCTGGGAACTTTTCAGCAATGATTTCTTTGACTGTAGCTTTTTCATTGCGGTTGTCTCCCTGTCCTTCTGGTACTCCAGTGATTCTAATGTTGTTCCTCTTGGCGTCATCTCCTAGGTCTCTGATTCTCCTTAGAGCCATTTTGAGGTCTTTTCCTATAGCTTGTTGTTCCCTGTGGGATTTCTGTTGCTCGTCTTCAAGCTCGCTGATCCTCTCTTCAGCTGCACTTATCCGATTGCTAAGGGCACTTACTGACTTTTTAATTTCATCTACTGAATCCTTTATTTGTGACACTTCTTTTTGTAGCTTTTTTATTTCTGCTCTCAGTTCTTCCTGTATTTTCTCGACTCTCTGTTCTATTGTTTCTTTCATTTCTTCTTTTAGTTTTCTGGATATCTCTTCCATTGATTCTTTGAGTAGATCCTTGAACGCTTTCTGCATTTCATCTCGGATTTCTTTATCGAAGAGAGCATAATTGTGGTCAACCTCGGTTGAGGATTCGGGATTCTTTTCTTCGTATTCTCCTTGTAGTGGAGATTTGCGCTGTTTCTTCATGTTGTTTTGGTTGCCTAGAGGTAGAACCCTGATATCACAGGTACTGTTCCCTCTCATTGTGGGAAAGGATTTTGGATAAGGTTGGTCGATGGTAGCCACCCTTCTCCCTTTCTAGAGTCCGACCTTCTTCTCAATCAGACATTATTCTTTGTTTTATAACCGACATTGAGTGAAGCTTTGGAGGAGGTGCTTTTTAGTATTGAGCTTGTACAGCTTATTCCATACTGGTCTTTTGTTAGAAAAGGAGTAGGCAAGTGGGATATTGTTGTTGTGTAGTAGAGGTGGTCAGAAAGTTTTGGTTGGTATTAGGCGACAAAGTGTGGGATGAAATTCCTGTGTGCTCGGACTGGGAAATATAACTGCGGCCACGTGAGCAGCCCAAGGCCCAGGAGAAAGCCACGCCCACTTCCGGGAGGCCACGCCCCGTACGTAGTGGTCACGCCCCCGGCCCGTCCCAGGGTCACTCCCACCCAGGATCCTGATATGGAGGAGGGGCGATGGACAGTCCCACGGAGCTGCGGCAGGTGTCCCCCGATGGCGGGTGTTGGGTTTGGCGGGAAAAGGCATGGGGCTGGGTGGGAGGAGCGGCGGTCCCCGCTCAATGGTTTTTTTTAAAACATAGTTTGTTGTGATATTAGAGATGGTAGTGCTTTGGATATACATACACTTATGGAAATAGATACTATTACACTTACTTAAAAAGATTAGTTAAACTGAGGAGAGGGGTTGGATAAGAGGTTTATGGGAACTTTACTTACTGGAAATTCAGCACCACAGATTGAAACCTCCCTTGCTGGGGATCCTGTAACTTCTTCTAATCTCTGCGTCCTCTCCCAGAGGAGATTCCTTTGAAATAAATTCACTTTAGAGATTTCTGCACCCTCAGTTATTATTCTCCTTTGGTATGCTTTGGAATTACCCTGAACAAACTCAACAGCCACCTTTTTGTCACATTTACAGATTAAAGACATTAACATGCTTGTTCATATGGAGACAAGCTTTTCAGCAAGAGTATAGGGTTCCCATTCCTCAGTCAGAAACCAATTCTGTGTGTAGGTGAGGATTATGTCAGTTATGGAGTTACATGAGTTCCTTATAAATTTTCTTTTAAGATAAATAATGTGAAACGTTTTATTTCACTTTATATGTTGCCTTTTTATTATACTGATTATTTTCTTTGTTGTGACATAGTACTTTTAAGACTTTTAAGTGGCATAGTTTCACTTCTTTAACTTAGCTTCTTTTAATTTCTTCTCCCTCCCTCCCTTCCTTCCTTCCTTCCTTCCTTCCTTCCTTCCTTCCTTCCTTCCTTCCTTTCGTCTTTCTTTCCTTTCTTTCTTTCCTAAATTCCCTTCAATTTGGGGTGAGGCCTTCTTAAATCATGGCCAAGAGTAATGGCAATGAGCTCACTGCTCATGTTTTATTCTAGATTTTTATTTCAGGGTTTATATCTAAGTCTTTGCTGTTGTTTTTGCACTACATACAGTGATACTCAGGGGTTGCTACTGGTTCTGCACTCAGGAAATACTCCTGGTAGTGCTTGGGAACGAATCTAGGTTGTTTGCATACAGGGCAAGAGCCCTATCTTCTGTACTATCTCCCCAGCCCCACGGCTAAGCCTTTAAATATATTTTAGTTAATTTTTCTGTTTTGGGCCTGAGCGATAGCATAGCGGGTAGGGCATTTGCCTTGCATGCAGCCAACTTGGGTTTGATTCCTCCACCCCTCTCGGAGAACCTGGAAAGCTACCGAAAGTATCTTGCCCACATGGCAAAGCCTGGCAAGCTACCCGTGATGTATTCAATATGCCAAAAACAGTAACAACAAGTCTCACAATGGAGACGTTACTGGTGCCCGCTCGAGAAAAATCAATGAACAATGGGAGGACAGTACAGTACAGTGCTTTTCTGTTTTGTGTAAAGAAATCATTTATTTTCATGATTATATGATCCAAAAATCTCTGAAAATGGGCTGGAGCTATAGTACAGCGGTAGGGCCTTTGCCTTGTGTGCAGCTGGCCCAGCTGAGGCGGGTTTGATTCCTCCACCCCTCTCAGAGAGCCCGGCAAGCTACCGAGAGTATCTCCCCCGTGCAGCAAGGCCTGGCAAGCTACCTGTGATGTATTCGATATGCCAAACACATTAACAACAAATCTCACAATGGGGACGTTACTGGGCCTGCTCAAGCAGCTTGATGAACGATGGGAGGACAGTGATCTTATTTTGACGTTTCTTCCCTGAAATCCTTGCACACACTTTTCAAGTCCTCTGTTTGTTACTTTAAGACTTACTTTATTCCAAGTTATCCTGGCTATATTTTTATATCAATTATAATCAATCCCCTCATTATCTTATTTCCTTGGTATCTTTTGCAGCTTTTTCTGTTCTGTCTTTGTCCAGCACAAAACCTTAGTGATGAGATTGTGACAGATTGTGTGCTGGGATTTCATGAGTTTCCTCTTCTAACTCACAACTACTTTGAAGTTTTGGAATTCTGTGCATTAAGATTGTGATTAGCATACAACTTTTGTGTAGATTTTCATTTTCCTTCTTGTTAGTTTTTATCTTTGGGGGTAGAGATACTGGAAAGAAGAGAGCTAAGTGCTCAAGACTGTTGTTGGTTAATATCAAATCACTTTGGTTCTTGAAGTTTTTTTATATATTACACAAACACACCTATATATTTATCTATATGAATATTTATATATGTGATGTGTACACATATATACTTAGAAACATAGGTACATGTCTATTTTCATTCTTTGCCTCTACTAGAGGTCTCTTGATGTGACTTTCTGAGTCACGAACATTTTTTCAAAGAAATTTGTATTTCTAGCTAATCTTAGAGACAAACAGGACTCTATATGTCTTCTTAGGATTTTTAAATATTCCTGAAGTAGGTTTATGAAGATGGATCAGATGCCCATACCCACACAGTTGGAGTTTGCTGCAAAGATTCTGCTGAGTAATGAGCCAGCTGCTACCCTCACCCCGAAAGAACTCCCTAAATACCTCTTCATTCCATTGTTTACTGCTGCCTTCTTGGGAAGACAGAAGATAACAAAGTCAATGGTGAGAGTTTGACCCTTTCATTGATTACACATCAGGACACTGAATATCCAAGAATTACCTAGGAAATCTTGGAAGCCATGGTAAATGGTTTTTAGTTCCTCCCTGCCCGTGTCTCTTCTTCGTGGTAAGACAAAATCAGTAGAGAGATAGTGAGTCAGCAGGAAAGCTTGGTGAATTCTGGATCAGAGGAATACCAGGTCTGATATTCCTCAAACTGGTGATGCATGTTTAGGTCTCTGTGAATCTACTGGTCCAACATTTGGCCTTACCTTAAGTCCACCAAAGTCTTACAGGTTCAGGTAATAAACATAGCTGATTGAGTTTACTATAGATGGATTTACTTTCTGAACGTGTTTGCTTAGGAGGGCATTGGCATCTGAGACTGGGGAGAATTATAGGTGAAGAAATTGTGGCTAAAAGAATGAGAGATACTACATTTGTATGGAAAGAACTTGTATGTGAAATACATGTGGAGTGAAAGCCATGAACGAATGTTTCTGTCCTAGCCCCACATCATTGATCTTTCTGGGTTATAATAAAATATACTACATTTTACATGTTCTGTTTCCTTTTCTCCCTTACAGGGGCCCCAAACAGAAGAACTTGGATTTAAGGAAAACCTAGAACGGTGGAATAACATGCTCTTACAGAGCCAAATACCCTTTCTATTTTTACTCTTGTGTTTATCCTCAGTACTCTATCCTTAAAGTAGAAGTCCATCTTGGGTTTAGGTACCTTAAAATGGTTGCTTCCAAGTCTGAGCCTGTGTCAGTCTAGAAACCCATGTTGAAAGTAAAGCAATTTACTTCTTTTTCTGAGAAAAAGATTGAGCTAGAACTTTGAGAACTTGAAACTCTGCTGCAGAAATTTGTGAATTGATAACATGTCTGCTCACAAAAGTAGCCTGGAGAACCTGAATATGGTGTGTACTTGTGACCTGGTAGTGAATTGGACTCACATAAGAAAATTTGCTTTCCTTTTGCTCCATTGATAGCCTTAGCCTCGCTAACATACCCTTTTAGTTTTGTGAGGAAGAAACTTCAAAACTTCTTTCTTGGCTTGAGAAACTGGACAGACATCAGGACAGGCAATCAGGTTGTCGTTCTGCCTTTCAGATCAAGTGCACAAATTGCTCAGGTGAAGGGGTGGAGATAAGAAAGATCCCATGTTTAAATATTAATAAGTTTCTGTTTTCCCTTCTATTCAGTTTGGTTATTGCTGAGAGTTCAAAACTTGTAGGTCTAGAGAGAAGTACCTTGTGATGAGGAGAATAACAGAGTTAGAAAATGAAACTATTCATTCATTTGTTCTACTAGGCAGTGAACCATATACAGAGACTATAAATGTGCAGGTATATTGGAGGAAAAATTTCAATTCTTGTTCTTTTTGAGATTAGAGAAGGAACATTAGCATTCAAATGTAGACTTTTTCTTTCTCTTGGATTTAAAATTTTATTAAATTTTTGTTTTATTTCTAAAAACAATTTAAATTGAGGTCTGTGGTTTACAATACTGTTAATGATGGTTTCTCATGCACATATTCCAACACCATATTCTTCCCCAGTGTACCCACCTCTTTCTCCCAAGGACATCAACACCCTTCCCTCTCAATCATTCACTCCCAACTCACTCCTGTGAATCAGTTCTCCCATTATGTTGCCTTTGGATCTTTGTTACTACCTTGCTGTGTATCTTTAAATCCAACATTGAAAGAGATGATTCTGTATCCTCTCCTATCTTTCTGACTGACTTTATTCATCATGGTATTCTCTAATAGATTGAGGCATTTTAATGCCATAGCAATGGGCTGGAGCGATAGCACAGCGGGTAGGGCGTCTGCCTTGCACGCAGCCAACATGGCCGGCCCGAGTTCGATTCCTCCGCCCCTCTCGGAGAGCCCGGCAAGCTACCGAGAGTATTCGATATGCCAGACACAGTAACAACAAAGTCTCCAGTGGAGACGTTACTGGGCCCGCTTGAGCAAATCGATGATCAACGGGAGGGCCTTTACTTACTTACTTACTTACTTAGCAATGATATACATCTCCATGTACTGGTCAAAATAGTTAACCCTGCCAGATTATTTTACTCTTTTAGTTTCCCCAAGTCTTAGATCCTGAATAGAGACCTTGTCACCTAGGGAATAATAAAAGGGACCTTCTGTTGACGCTTTCTTAGAATGATTTTTACCAAATAAGTCAGGAGGATCCACTACTGACTATGTTGTGCATAATTTTTTACTCCTTTTTTGCATAACCCAGTATAATAATTAGTATTGTATACTTTTTAAAGATGAAGATTCCAAATCTCAGGTTGGAGAAATAACTGTCCCAGGGTCTTATATCTGTATAAGTTCTAGATCCAAAAGCCCTTGTGGATAAACTTACTGTTGAAATTTATGCACAAATTACTGAGCTCTAATTCAGGACTCACTGAATTAGGTCCAATCTCTCCCTCTTCTGGAATAATATTTACTTAATCCCGTACAGAGTCCTGCAACCTTAGTTTGGTACACTGATTTTTGTCTTTCTGTGATCTTTCATTACTGTTATTTTTGCCACACCCAGCAGGACTTATTCCTGGCTCTATGCTCAGGGATCATTCCTGGTAGGGCTGGGGGAACCATATGGCGTGCCAGGGATCAAACCCAGATCAGCCACAAACAAGGTAAGAGTGAGCCTAATCCACTGTACTATCTATCTTTCCTGCCCCAGCAACAGCACTTTTTTGGTTTCATGTAACACATGGCTGTGCTCAGGATATACTCCTGGCCCAGGCTCAAGGAACCATATCTGGTACCATGGATCAAACCTGGGTCAGTTGTATGCAAGACAAGAACCCTACCTGCTGAAATATTTCTCTGGTCCCTTCTATGACCTTTCTACATGAGATGTCACTGTCCTATCACAGAGCTCTTAGGAAACCCACATAAAGCAGCTGAATCTGAGTAACAACCAAAAATTCTGGGAAGTCTATGATTCTTTCTTGAGTCTACTGTAGAGGGTCTTAGACCCCCTGAAGTACCTGGAGATTATCAACTTCTTAATAATTGATTCTGCTTTCTCTGCAATTCCCCAAGCCCTGAGACATTGTATTACAAAGATATAGTGATTAAAACTTCATAGTACTAAAAAAACGATAGATGCTCTGATCAGTGGTTGAGAACCCAATACCCTAACAAAACACCCTTATATATGGGACAGAGAACAAAATAAATTAGGGTGAAAAGAAGAGAATGGGAAGTAATGGGTGGACATGCATCAAGGTTTTAGTTATACAAGTGTTATGGGTAAGTGGTATAGGCATATATCCAAAACACAGAGTAAACAAAACTGAAAACCTGAGATCTAAATTGAAACCACTGAAACTTTGTAGTGTGGTTATCAAGTTGACAGGCAGAGATGGGGTGAGATTTAGGGTGGGGAGGAAACATGAAACACATATGATGGAGGGAAGTTGACACTGTTGGTGTGATTGGTGTTGAAATCTTATATGCCTAAAACTCAACTGTCAATAACTTTCTCAAAGTTATTTAATAAAAATTAAATTAACACATATAAAATAAAATTGGAGCAGAAATTTAAAAATAGAATATGACAATACAAAATATCAGTGAAATAAAGAGATTGTTCTTTGAATAAATAATGTTGAATTATTCTTAACTAGTCTTAAGAAGTAAAAGAGAGAAATCAGAAATTAAAGTGGAGTAGTCACAACACATACTACAGAAAAACAAAGGGTTACAAGAAACTATTATGAGCAATTTTATGTACCTATACTGGGGAACTAAGGAGAATTATTAGAAACACACATCCTTCAAGGAATGAATTAGGGGGAAATATTGAACCTGAACAGGAAAATTTCAAGACAGTTATGAAGAGGTAATATAGAAATAATAATCAAAAGGATCCCTGCCAGCAAAAACAGACTCGGGTAGTTTTCTAGTGGTTTCTATCAAACCTTCAAAGGTGATTTATTACCAAAATTATGACGCTCTTCAAAAATACTGAAGAAATAAAAATTCTTCTAATTTCTATGAGGTGAACATTATCTTGAACAGAGAATTCTCCCAGTTTTTATGAGGTCAACATTATCTTGAACAAACAGTGACTAATTTTTATTTACTGGAAAAATTAGAAAAACTATCCCAGTTGAATTACTTAGTAAAATTATAGGTATTCAAATTCAACAATTCAGAAGCGGTATCATATATTGATGCAACTAAGTCCAGGGATGAAATGGTAGTTCAACATATGCAAGTTAATTAATTAATCTTAATTAAGTTAATTAATTGATCTTTTATCAGAAAAGAAAGATCAAAATCACATGTATTATCCATATCAAAAGATTCATTTATGATTAAAACAAACAACATGAGCATAAGAGTAACATACCTCAAAATAGTAAAGTCCATATTCAACAAACCCTTAGTGAATATCATACTGTATGGTGAAAATTGAAAATATTTCCTTTCCTGTAAGATCAGGCACAAGACAAGTATATTCACTCTCATCACCATCATTCAATACAGTTTTGCAAGTTATAATTACAGAAATTATATAATAAAAATAAATCAAACTTGAAAATATAAATTTAAGTATTAGGTCAGAATGATAGTACAGTCAGTAGGGTGCTTGCCTTGCATGTACGTGACCTGAGTTTGATCTTATGCAACATATGTGACCCCAAGACCAGTTAGGAGACAGTCCTGAGGGCAGAGCCAGGAATAAGCCCTGAGCACTGAGATGTGTGGCTCAATCACCAACAAAATAAAAGAAGTTAAGTATCACCTTAAAAGCACAAGACATAGCTAGTGAATTCAATAATGTTACAGTATACAAATCAAAATACGTACATCTATTACATTTCTTTACACCAACAATGGGTTGGAGAAAGAGAAATTAAGAAAGAAATCCTATTTACAATTGCTTCTGGAAAAGGATAAAATATGTGGGTGTAAGCCTAACAAAGGTGGTCAAAGGCTTACATACTGAAAAATATAATACACTGTGAAAAAATATAATAAAAGATGATAAAAATGAAAAGACAACATGTACCGATAGATTATAAGAATACATATGTTTAAAATGATCATCTTAACTATAGCAGTTTATAGATTCAACACTATCCCTATCAAGATATCAATGATACTGTTTTCAGGGAAATGAATCAAACTTCTAAAATTTGTATGTAACTACAAAGATCCCGAATATCCAAAGTAATTCTGGGAGACTAGAAGAAAAATGGAGGCGTAAAGCTCCTAGACTGAGACATTGTGATATTATAACCAAACCAGTAACACAGGCCAGTAGAATAGAAAGTCCGGAAATTCATTCATTTATGAATATCTGATATATCACAAGAAGTCCAAACCATTAACCATAAGGGAAAATATCTTCTTCAACAAATTGTGCTGGGAATCTGGATTATACCATAAAAAATAAAGAAAGTTGGTCACTACTAGTACAGATGCATTAAATATATAGGTATTAGGACCAGAGTGATAACTCAATGGGCTGAGCTCATGCTTTGCTTGTGAAAGTCGCAGGTTTGAAACCCAGTATGACATGGTCCCCCAAAGACTAGTGGAAGCAACCTCAAATAAAGAGCATGGAGTAGCCGCTGAGCACTGCTGGGTGTGTGCCCCCAGCCTCCAAATAAACATATAATTAGATATTAGACTAGAAGCCATAAAATGTGTAAAAATATATAGGTTATACATTCCAGGGTCTCAACATTAGAGATATATTTGAAGTTTCAACTCTACTTCCAAGGCGAACAAAATATAAACTAAAGAATTGGGAGTCACACTCACATCCCTCAGCCTCCACCATGTAAATAAATGGCCTAGGTTCATAGCGTTGTGATAATTTCTCAAGAGACACAGTAAAATGATAAAATTCACAGGTACACTATTGTAGGGCTAAAAACAATGGGTCCCCCTTGGGAAGGGGGTGGGCAAAGTTCTCACCCTGTTAAAGTTCTAGAAGCTGCATCCACAGCCTTTGCTATGTATACAGACCAGCTTCACTGACTCACAACTAATCTCGGAAGAGAGGCCAAGCTGTTAAAATAGCAAGGTGCAGCCAATCTGTAATCTTACTTGTTATCCTCCCTCTCACCCAAATGAACTCCTGGGGTTGCTGTTCCTGAGTGAAGACCAGGATATTGGTCCCACCTCCCAGTACAAAGCTGATTGGTAGAACCCTATCACTGCATCTAAGATGAGCCAATCACAGTGCTGTTCTGGTTTGTTTAACTACGGAGAAGTAATCATTAGGACGTTGGGCATTAGGCAATGAACAAGACCTAGATTTTGTTTGTCTGCGTCCTGAGATAAATGAAGAAGAGTCCATGACAAGATTTTCGATGGATTACCGCGTATTACAAAATTCTTTTTCCAATTAGGTAAATTATAAGTGTCCTTTTTCTAAATCGTATTGGAATAAATAACTCAGGGTCAAAGTTTAGAGAGTAAGAAAAAAATTTGCATTGACAGCATTGTTAGATTGTAAAACACGATGACTATATTTTAGTCACCAATATTAAAAAATAAAATTGTTTTTATGTATGACTATTTTAAAATAAAAATAAAATTTATATGTATAAAATAGAAAAATAAAAACATAACAAACATAAAAATAATGTAAGTTTGAAAACCTACTAGGGAAATAGAAAAATTTAAACAGAAAAACAATCAGGCAAATTTGCTCAAGAGTCACTTCCATTTAACCCTTCATGTATTACCTTATCCGTAAGTGAGATTCTCTTCAATTGTATGGTTAAACCTTAAAGCTCTCATTAAACCTCTCAAACAGCCTCTGTAAAGAGTATCTAGTTTCTCTTTGCATTTTAATTTGAAGTCATTTTAATATCCCATGATTAAAATGGCAAACTGAATTATATATTACATGCATATATACATTTTTCTGTTGTATTCAATTTCTTTTGTGTTTAATTGCTTTTCTGATATTAAGAGCAGAGCAGATACACATTAAAATATGTTTCAGAGATAACTGTATTTTGATTTCCTATGGTAGGCTAACTGCAGCATTTTCAATTCATTTTTAGTTTTTAAAATAAAATTTTATGGATTTACTATAGATTTCGACTACTGTAGAAATTTTTGCAGTGTAGCTTCACAACTGTATCTCTGTATATGTCTTACCACAACCACCGTTAAAGTTGTAGTTCCAGAAATACTGTCAGATTGACATCTTCTACCTATTTTTACAAACCCTCTTTGTTTAAAAAAACATAAAAAATTACTTTTAGTCTGGATAATATGGTTAATTCATTTGTAGTGGATGTGATATGACATTTATCCATCTTGGTATCCATTCTCATTGTTACTATATTTAAATTGGATAAACTGATGTTCACTTGGATAAATTTCACTTTAACCACTGGTTTTGTCTTTTTGGAAAAGAAGTATGATGATAAGAATTTATCTTCTGCTTGAATATTTTTCTATTCTATATATTTTTTTGTTTTGGGGTGTCATACTGGGAGTAGTGGTGGGACCATATAGTAAGGGAAATGAAACTGGGTTGGCAGCATGCCAGACAAGTGCCTTAAATCCTGTACTCTCTAGCCCATGTTTTATCATGTAAAATTCTTAAATATTTTGGGGGCCAGTGAGATAATATAGGCAACAGTGCACTGGCTTTGCACAGGATAATTCAAATTCATTTTCCAGAAGTTCCAAGGGTAATCCCTGAGAAAAGGGCCAAGAGTAATCTGTGATAACAGTTGGGTATAGCCTTAAATCAAATAATGACAGTAAAATGATAATAATTCCACTGCTACCACTAATAAAGCAGTTTTAGATTTGCATTAAAGTTACAGAAAGTAGTACTGAAGTCTTCACCCAGTTTTAGTTAATACCAAATGTTTTTTTAAAAAATTAGATTTTGTTTTATACCTGGCTATGCTCAAAATTTATTCCTGGCTCAAGGATTACTCCTGGAGGCCTTAGAGTACCATACATGGTGCCAGAGAACCAACTAGAGTAGGCTGTATGCAAGGCATATGCCATATCTGCTGTACTATCCTCTGTACCTAATACTGAATTTTTACATTATTTATAACCATAGAAAGTTAATCAAAAGTATGCAATTAAGTACATGCAATACTAGTAAGTAATCTATAGACTTTTAAAGTGTTTGAATTTTCAAAAGCTGTCAACCTATGTTATTTTCTCGATTCCAGAATCTCAATCAGGATACTGCATTACATTTGAACCAACATTTCTCAGTAGTCTTCTAGACTCCTATAGTTCCTCCAGCTCTCAGTGTCACCACAACCCTGATTGCCACCATTGAAGACACTGGTCAGGTATTTTTATAGACTTTCAATTTGGGTTATTGGTGTTATTATGACCAAACTTTGGTATTTTTGGCAAGAGTAGTGGTTTCATCTCCCCAACCCCACTTCATCTCAGTGGTGAAGGAGGGATTTCCTCCCTAGCTTCTGGAGGTGGCTGAATACCTGACACACTATACTGGATGGAAGAACTCCAAACCAGTTTATTATTAACATTTACTCAAAGCCTTGGGTAGTCAGTCCTGTAGAGTCTCACAGGTATTGTAATACTGAAAAAGGCAAACAAGTAGGAACTGGGACTAGGGCAGATTTTTAAAAAATTTTTATTAGTGAAACACCAATGAGGTACAGTTGTAGACTTACAAATTTTTGTGGTTGTGTTTCAGTTATACAATGATCGAATACCCATCCCTCCACCAGTGCTCATTCTCCACCACCAATAATCCCAGTATCCCTCCCATCCCCCATCTCCCCCATCCCACCCTGCCTCTGTGGCAAGGCATTCCCTTTTGTTCTCTCCTTTTGGGTGCTGTGGCAGGGCAGTTTTTATAGTAAAAAGAGGATGAAGTGACATATGGCTCATATATAATTAATTTGTATGAGTTGTTCTGTGGGTTTGCAGGGAACTGAATCCTGATGTTCAGGTATAAGCAAGCACTGTTCCTAAACCCTTATAGGAAATTTTCATTGGCTCGTGGATCTTACTCATGAGAACACAAAAGGGAGGGAACTTGTGCTGAGGCCACTTGAGGCCTCCTGGTTTTCCCCATACATAGAGTCGTATGTATTTTTGGGATTTAACTCTATATTCCCATCCCCAAACACCCTGTCAGGGGCTACCTTACGTCCATATGCTGTATGACTGATTACAGTCATCTTGATAATTTGATTATGGTAGTAAACATTATGTAGCTCAATTGTAGTGATACTATTTTTATTTCATATATAAATATTGCATGGGTATTTTTTAAAACCATGAAGACAACATGTTCCTGTTTCTTATCAGACACACTATTTAGAATCCATCTGGGAATTTTGCCCCAAGAAAAATAAATTATTGCCTAATGGTAATTTTGTATTTTCCTCATTGCCATCATATTTAGTCACTGGAATTCTCCAGAAAATCTGTCTCCTCTTATTTTTCTGTAAATTTTCAAATTTTAAACATTTTTGTCATTAGTGATTCAAATAATTTATTAAAATTATATCATGAATAATTATGCCTTTCTATGAGTTGTGTTCAAACTATAGTACCATTAATTTTTCTTTTGAATTACTGTTACTTGGACATTGAAAGCTCCTTTTGTTTGTTTTGGCGTCCTATATAACTCTCTCTCTTACTAGCACCTTAAGATGTTCACTCACAATCTTCTTTTCTTCTCCACTAGTTCAGTATGTTTAAGGCATTTATTTATAATTTAGATTAGCTTGTTGGTGACTGTGTTTAGGTTTGTGCTTTTTCCACATTCTGGTTTGATTTTGTTTATTAAAATTTGGTATCTTGGGTCCTTATATGGTGATGTGGTGAGATAACTATGCATTAAAACTGTTGTAATGTCAACATCATTGTAAATACACACCTCAACTATAATAATATGAAGAATAGATGTTTAAAAGAAATAAGACAAAATTTTTATACATGTGAAATATCACTGTAATTTAAAGAGTCTAGTTCAACCTCTGACAATTAAAGAGAAGTCAACTCAAGCGTACTGTCACAGATCCATCCCTTTAAACATTTTCTTTCTCTTTTTAAAAAAGTTGCTCATGATGGGGTTTCAGTCGTAGAGTGTTCCAATACCTTTCCCTTCACCAGTGTATATTTCCATGACCAGTGTCCTCAGTTTCCCTCCTGCTACTCCCCACCCCCCGGCCTGCCTCTATGGCAGGAACTTCTTCTTCCTTCTTCCCTCTTCCTTTTCCTCTTCCTCTTCCTCTTCTTCTTCCTCCTCCTCTTCTTCTTCTTCTTCTTCCTCCTCCTCCTCCTCTTCTTCCTCCTCCTCCTCCTCCTCCTCCTCCTCCTCCTCCTCCTCCTTCTTCTTCTTCTTCTTCTTCTTCTTCTTCTTCTTCTTCTTCTTCTTCTTCTTCTTCTTCTTCTTCTTCTTCTTCTTCTTCTTCTCCTTCTCCTTCTCCTTCTCCTTCTCCTTCTTCCTTCTTCCTTCTTCCTTCTCCTTCTTCTCCTTCTTCTCCTTCTTCTCCTTCTTCTCCTTTTTCTCCCTCTTCTTCTTCTCCTCCTCCTCCTCCTCTTTCGCTCTCTTGCTCTCTCCTTTTGGTTTGCATGAAAGATTATCATGTATATCCATTTAAACATTTTAAATTCCTCACTTTTTCCCATGCCTTTCCTATTCTACTGATGATATCCAAACTCTTCAGTTTCTGGTTTAAACTTTATTGCATTTATTTTTTACACAAGAGCAGATAGACATATGATTTATTCTATTTCTATATTTGTTAAATGAAGGGTAATACTGAATTCTACACACAGTCCTTTGCATTTTTCCTTTTTCACTGAACCACACTCCAAGAAATCCCTCCTTATCATTCTGTAGAAAGCTTTTTATTTCTTTTTAAAAATGGCTATGTTGGACAACATTGTGTGGCTGTATCACTCATATTTAATTGCTCAGTAACACATGAATATTTAAGTGGTTTTTCATATTTTGAAATTATTAACAAGGCGGTGATGGATAACCTTGGACATACTACTCTTCTACTGGTGGAAATATCTATAGAATTTATATTCACAGTAATGGGGTTATTGGCTAAAAGTTATGTATAAATGTAGCTTTTTTATGAAGAAGGAGCAAATCCAGTGGTTATTGATGCTTACTCCTGGCTCTATGAATCAAGGATCACTCTTGTGTTGTTGAGGATTGAATTCAGGTTGGCCACGTTTAAGTCAGTATCATAACTCTGTTGGAGTATGCACATGTAGTTTTGTACTTCTAAATTTCTCTCCAGATGGGTTGTAACTGGTTTGTATATCTATTAGCAATGTATGGCTGTTTATCCACAGCCTATTTAAGAAAACATGTTGCACTCCTTTTTAAATATTGTCTGTATGGTAAATAAGAAATAGCATTTCACTGTCATGGATTTGTAAGTTTTCATACATCATGTTTGGGGACTATTTTGAATATATTTCTCTGCATTACCTTTACATACCAATTTTGTATTTGATATGGAATTTTCAACTTTTCATCCTTTATTAATGGAATGTTTTATATTATATTTGGTATATACTGCAAATACTTAACTTTGGTGTTCTAGTTGCCTTATTATTTACTTATGGTACTTTAACCATATATGTTCAATATTTTTTTTGCCTTTTAAACTTTATTTTTTTAGTTTGTTTTAATGTACAAAATTAGAATTTTTTGAAGCCTGTTATCAAACACCCTCTATGTCCTGAGTTTCTATTTTCTGAATTACCAATCCTGTATCTCTAAGACCTCACTTAAGAGCAGTGATAATGATAACACTTTTTGCAGTCAAATTGATTCATATTTTATTTTGTGGCCTTTTGAATGGTCAGAATGTATTTCCCTATACTGAGTTTGAGAGAGTTTTGCCATATTTTCTTAAGAACTTATAATTTACTTTTTAAATCTTTAGATATTTAGCCCATTTGGTGCATTTTTCTCTTTAATTTTTTGAACTGTAAGATTCTTTCATATATGTATATAAACCTCTAAATATCTTAAACGTCTTCAAAGTCCACAAAGGTCTGATACAGCAACTTCATTTTGACTCAAATTTCATGTAGAATTATGTTTGATAATATATAATAGCTGAGACTTTAAATATATATATATAATAGCTGAGACTTTAAAAAATTTAAAGTATTTTCCCCAAATTTTATTTTATAAAAGCACCATTATTTACAATGTTATTCATAGTTGGGTTTTCAATATACAATGTTCCATCATTGATCCCACCATTTGTTTCATCTTCCCTTTACCAGTATTCCCAGTTCCCTCTACTTCCCAATCCCTCATCTTAGTCTGCCATCTTGACATGCACCTTTTTAGTTTAAGTTTGGTTCTCATGATTGCAGTCTAGTCTGCCATCTTGGCATGCACCTTTTTAGTTAGTTTACTGAATTTTATGTCTCATGATTTCAATCTAGCCTGTCATCTTGACATGCACCTTTTTAGTTTGTTAATTTAGGTTTGGGTCTTATGATTTCAGTCTAGTTGATGCTGCAGTTTGGATATTTAGCTCTATCATTCCTTAACACCACTGATATATCTGGACGCTTGCCATCTCTTGCTACTCATATTTCTCTTTTCCTCCCTCACTCCATTCATTGTTTTTCCTTCTCCTTCTTATATTTGGGAATAAGGGTGATATAAGCATGCCTCCTTTAAACCATTGCATTTCCTTATCCAGTTAATATACCACAGATAAGTGAAATCATTTTGTGTGTATCCTTCTTCTGGCTTACTTTGCTTAGCATGATATCTTCCAGTTTCATCCATGTTGCATCAAATTGCATGATTTTATCATTTCTTACTGGTGTATAGTAGTATTTTGTGTATGTATACCACAACTTCATGACCTGTTATTGGACATTTAGATTGATTCAAGTCTTAGCTATTGTACTGAGTGCTACAGTGAATAATGTTTTACTTTTATAAAAGATTTTATTTAAATAGTGGTTCTTTTGAATGAATGTGTTTTGTATCCTGGGGGTAAATGTCCCAAAGTAGAATTTGGAGATTCTATGTAAGCTCAGCTTAAGTATACTGAGAACCATACTTTTTTCCCATAGGGTTTTAATCAAACAGCATTCCCACCAGAAGTGAATGAGAGTTGCTTTTCCACCACATCCCCATCAACACAGATGGTTAACAGTATTTTTGATATGTGGCATTGTCACTGGTATCTATTGTTTTCTTGATCTTGGATTTCACTGATAATAAATGATAAGAAACACTTGTTCATATGTTTGTTGGTCATATGTTGGTCTTCCTCAGAAAAGTGTCTGTTGATTTCCTCACCCCATTTTC